GAAATCACTGACATACAAAGGGGCCTTCAACAAGATTCTTATACAGTGGATATTCTCCAACAGCTCCACACAAATCCTTCATCGGTTCCTGATTTTTCTTCGCATGACCAACTTTTGTTTTTCAAAGGTAGGATGGTCATCCCTAATATACCCGATCTTAAACTTAGATTACTTCAAGAGTGTCACGACTCACCAGTTGTGGACATGGTGGTTTTGTAAAAACCCTTAAACGCGTGTCTCTCCAATTTTTTTGGCCAAAAATGAAACAAGAAATCAGGGTGTTTGTGCAGAACTGTTTAGTTTGCCATAAGCAAAAGTACCAAACATTATCTCCGACTGGTCTCCTCCAACTGTTGCCAATTCCGGTTCAAATATGGGAGGACATTTCCATGGATTTTATTGTGGGATTACCGCCATCTAACACGTTTGACACTATCTTGGTAGTCGTGGATCGCTTGAGCAAATATGCCCATTTTCTGTGTTTATCTCACCCTTTTACAGCTAAAAGTGTGGCTGCCATTTTTTGTAAAGAAGTTGTTCGTCTACACAGCTTCCCTCGCTCCATTGTATCGGATCGTGACGTCATCTTTTTGAGCACTTTTTGGCAGGAACTATTTCGTTTGAGCCAAACCAAACTGCAATTGAGCACCAGTTACCATCCACAGACGGATGGTCAGACAGAAGTTCTCAATCGCTGTTTAGAGGCCTATTTACGTTGCTTCGCTCATGAACAACCGACCAAATGAAGTTCCTATTTAACGTGGGCTGAATATTCTTACAACACCGGGYATCATACTTCTACGGGMRCTACTCCTTTTTCCATCGTTTATGGCCGGGATCCTCCCTCCCTTCTGCCTTATGTAAWGGGAGAAACCAAAAACGCAGAATTGGAACAGCAATTAATCGATCGTGATGACATGTTAAAGCTCCTACGCCTCAATCTTACGAAAGCTCAAGATCGGATGCGTAATCAAGCTAATACAAAACGACGAGAAGTAACTTTTCAGGTTGGGGATTATGCTTTTTGAAAACTTCAACCGTATCGACAGCAAAGCTTGGCTAACCGTCGTTATGAAAAGTTGTCCCCTCGATTCTTTGGTCCTTATCGGATCAAACGTGCCATTCGACCTGTGGCTTATGAGCTTGAATTACCTCCGGATGCTAAAATTCATCCGGTGTTTCATGTCTCCATGCTCAAACCAGCCTATGGTTTTTTCTCCGACCTCAATTGCCCCATTACCAATCACAAGGGATTGGGAGATTGATGTTCAGCCTGCTTCAATTGTTGATCATCGCTGGGTGCGGGAAGCAGGCCAACCCGTGCTAGAATTATTGGTTTCTTGGGCTCAGCGTCCTATGGAAGAAGCTACTTGGGAGTCATATGATCTGTTAGCTGAGCAATTCCCTCGTTTTCGCCTTGAGGACAAGTCGTTTTACCAAGGGGGAAGTAATGATAACAACCTACAGGTGTATACAAGAAAGAAAACACGTGGCAAGGGACATGAGCAGGAGCAATTTAATGCCTTTTGGAATTTGGTTGGACCCACTGGGTCAACCATGCAATGTTTAAAATTGAATGGGAGGGAGCAGTTCTGAACCTGTATTCTAGGAGCAGTTATCATTAGTCTGTAATAAATCTGCAGTCTTTGTTTTTAGGAGGCAGTCAGGAATAAACTTGTTGTATTCATGTTAGCAAAGAAGACCAGCCATCTCGAATTTGGCTTTATCAATCTAAATTGTAATCGTTTGACTGCTTAATTTTTCCGGTTACTATCACAACATGTTTCAAATGACACTCAGTTTTTGAATTGAAATAAACCTGTAGACCAAAATCAGTATCACCAAAAAACTTGTAATCATGACATGAAAACAAGTAGGTTATTGGAATTGAGAAAAGCTGCCAAGAAACCAAGAAGCCTTTGGCCTGGCGGTATCTGGGTTACCAATAGAGCACAGTCTCCAAGGAGGTCAAGGGTTCAAACCTCACAAAAGGAGAGAAGGGTGCATAAGTTCATTTGCCGAATATAAATATTATATACTTCTAAAAAATCTCCCAAGAAGAAAATGCTGTGGGGTTAATACAAGAAACCTAAAAATGAATATTATCGCAATTTTCTGTATGATCCAGGATGGTAACAAATAAATATATAGAAGTACATATATGATACCAGTGGAACTCTAACAAAACAAAAGAGGTATATAAATGCGAGACCAATAGCAAGATAGACAAGCTTACCCTTCTGTGGCTGCGTTAGTGAATGCAACAAAATCAAGAAAAATAATGTCTTGGACAACTCCAAATCTTGACAGCATCCAACAAACCACTGCATATATTCATCAGAGTTGGCCAAGAAGCTTTCTGCCATGACATTGATGTTATCCATATTAACAGCAGATGTGCTCTTAAGTGCCAGTTTCTGTAACAAATTGACAATAACAGTAGAAAAGCTTATTAATGCCTCATTTTTGGCACACAACAAATAAATGCAATAGAAGGTACAACAATATAGGCCACAGTCAGCCAAAAGTCTGCATAAAATAGAACAACATTTAGTAATATCAGTACTTAAAACCAAAGATACATATCAGTAGATTAGACAAACCATCAGATGATATGCTACAAACAACCAAGTCTGACTGAAGATGTGAGAGATAGAAAAGACTTCCAACACAAATGTCATCTTAATCAGATAGGTAGTTCTTTGAACTTCTCATTACGTAATTAAATTGCAATAAAACCGAATCTGCCACTTGCAAATACACAACGCACTCAACACTCAAACCTAAATCTTAGTTGTAATATAAAAAAGAAAACTTATCCATATTAACAATGTGCTTTCAAGTGAAAATTTCTCTAACAATTATGTAACAGAAGAAGCGGTTATTAGTGCCTCGTTTTTCGGCATACGACAAAAAAATGCAACACGAAGTGCAATAATAGGCCACAGTTAGCCAATAGTCTATGCATAAAAATAGAACAATATATTAGCAACATCAGTCATATGAAGTCAAAGACAGATATCAATAGATATGCTGCTACCTGTACCCTTAAAATGCATCAACTACCCATGGCAGGCCCTCAACATATGAACAAACTATTAGATAGTATGCTACAACAATCAAGTCCAACTAAATAAAGACGTGAGAGATAGAAAAGCCTTTCAAAACAAATGTCATCTTACTCGAATAGGTTTTTTTTTAATTAATTGTAATTAAACTGCAGTACAACTGAATCTGCCACATACAAACACCCCCACACACTCAACGCTCAAACCCAAACCTTAGTTGAAATTATAAATAAAAAATCTGTATCAACCAACCCAATGACTAACAGTGAATTTGGTAGGCGAGACAGGACACTACAAAACCTTCTTGTCCCACATTAAACAGGAAAAGGACAGGACCTGAGTGGGACAAAAGAACCCGCCAAAATAGGTGGAACAAAAAATCTACGAGATGGGACAAGATTGTAAATTACTAAACTACCCATGTCAACTTAATACCCTAAAACTTTCCACAACTCTATCACCCATCTACCTCACTCTCAGCGTCCACTCCCAATTGCATACCAAACGCACCCTAAAAATTTGTTACTCCTTATGATATAGGCTATTTAAACATAATGAATAAAAGTTGCATGAAGCTCTTAGCATCGGGAAAAAATCGCAATTTCCTTTTCGTTTTATTTCAGAACCCTACATCTAAAACAGATGAAAAAGTCTATCACAGGTCTATTTTGGACAATTTTGGTGCTTACAAAAGTGACTAAGAATAATACTTGCCTTCCCAGGGGTAGAGATGGTAACAAGTCTCTGGTAGAGAGGCCAGTTTAACTCCTTGGCTGCATCTAAAGCCTTCAAATTTACACTCTGAGTCTGATATAAGAAACAAAAAAAATACAGATCAGCAAACAGCATAAGCACTGCAGAAAAGAGTCACTTAACAATGCAGACTCGATGGAGAGACCTTCGGCATGAATAAAACTAAAGGAAATATCATCGCAGCGAGGTCATTTGCATATCCTTCTTCGCCTAGGAAGCTTGAAGTTACATGCTCCAGACATGATACGGTAACATCAGTAGCTAGAGTTGTATTATCTGATGCCTCTATAAAAAATACAAGTTAGCTAAAAGGTCAACAGTTGTGCATATATCAGAAGGTACAACCACAGTAAATACAAATCCAGAGGAATGGAACTTGAAAAAAAGTATGTTCAACATAGTGTATCGTCCATTCATAGTGGAACACCATAGCTATAGTTTAGATATGCAGGTCATGGACCAAGATTAGACATGTGACAGATGAGTGGGGAATCTTACTTGAAATTAATATACTGATGCATCTTTTGAACACAATCTGAAGGCCATCAAAAAGATCTTTAGATTGTAAAAATTCAGACAATCTCCCCATACTTAGCACTGCCTGGACCACACTTAGATCATCATCATAAAGCCGGCGCAACAGCGCATCATGTACAGTTTGGATCTTCTGAAAAAGAAATACATAAAATATTGAAGCAAAGGCAGAGAGAATTAGCATATCGAATGTTGAGCTATAATATTGAAAGCTTTAAACTGTTGATCAAAAATTGGGTTGTGCTCAAGCCAAGACATGCTTAGGCTGCTTGACCTTGGGTCAAGATTTGAAAATTGTATGCAACCACTCTGAAGCTCTAAAATTGAGTTGCTAGCAAATGCATTTATTGATCAATGGAGTTCAGGCCTAAAATCTAAACTTTGAACTGCACCGTGTTAACACAAAGGGACCATAAAACCAGTAAAAGACAAAGCCAAGATTTCTTTTTCATTGATTTGATGATTCCTCGACCTATATTTCAGATATTGTAATAGATAATTAGGTGCTGTGATGTATTATTGTATTGTGAAGTGTGCATGAGTGTCTATTTCAATTATGAATGTAATTATTTTAAAATATATATGTGCAATTGTAGCATAACAATATTACTTTCGTCAACCAAAAGGTACATCTTCAAGCTGTGTGGGGAAGAATTGTGAGGGTTGAGATGGATGTATGGCGACACAATAAAGACAATAGTTAAAAATGATGGTTGTTGTAGATGGGTTGGCTCCAGCAAGGAGAAACTAAAATAACACCGGTTGAGAAGGTTAGATCATCTCTAATGCAAACCTTTGGATGCATCCATTAGAAGAGACTCGTAACAAGAATAGGATGCTAGAACATGTAAGTCTATGCCATTGACACTAGAGGGGATATATCAATGGAGTTGGGCTTGATAGAAGGATGTAGAGAGAAAATGTCATGTTCTCAGGGGGTTCACCTGTTCGTAACTTGCATTGGTTTCACTTTTCACCTACTTAGCTAGTTTGCGACCAAGACATTGTTCTAGTTGATATTCCTACCAAGTACCAAGAAAATGTAGATGTGGACATATCCTATCAAAGACATGGTTGACGTAAGTTAAACCGAACACATCATTCACCGGTGTGCTTGAGTTTGAGCGTTTGGTTAAAGAGAGAAAACTAGTTGTGTTATAAAATCCACAACACTGAAAATTTGTTATCTAATCCAATGCAAGCAAGTCACCCATCAATCTCCTGATTGTGTTATATAATTCACAACAATGAAAATTTGTGTACAGATCCACAAACAACAAATAACGTCTTTTTAAGCAATATTTTGCATCTGGATAAATTCTTTAAGAACAACGAGTAACGCCATACAAGTCCAAGAAATGGAATATGTCTCAATCAGATAGAATCCATGCACTGTCAAACATAAATTAACAAAGACTTGAAAACTCGGCTTCAAGATACAGTGCTGCAAACATAAATCTAAGATGTATATTGCTTACAGATATTAACATATCACCTGTGAATTGACAGCCTTGTCTCTAAGAACAGGATCCGCACCCAAACTCACAACAGTAGCCCTCCGAACCCTAGCCTGACATTATGCGAACATAATAGATTGTAGAAAAATGAATTATAAGTAGACCATTACCCAGAAGAATGGGATCCAGTATATTATGATAAGTTATACAAGCCAACAAAAGCCAGGCATATGCAATATTATGTATGGGAGCAATAAGGTCTGCTTCATGAATTCCTACTAAATATACCTGTGGATGTTCCAGTCCAAACCAAATCTTTGAATCAGATAATGCAAATGACGAGTCCAAGCCTCCATCTAATGTCTTACAGAGGACCTCATATGCTGAACTATCTTTCTTGGGTTGCCCTTCAAGATCCTAGAAGGATGAGGGATTCAAACCCAATTTAGAACATTGAAGAGGAAAAAAGAGTAGACCCAAAAAAAAAACAATCACAAAAAAATATCCAGCAAAACAACAAACCTCTAAGAAACTTTGAACAGCTTCACGTAATTCCAACATATAATGTTCATTGATGGAAACCAATATTTCTTTCACCTTGCTTCCTGATACTTGTCATTCCAAAATAACAAAAATGAGCAGGCAAACAACAACCACTTGTCGATAATGGAACATAGACAACAATCTTACTATGCAAATCAATCAAAGCTTTTTCTTAATTAAAATTCAAATTACATTTGCACTTAAACCTATCCAAGCTTAACCACGAGAAAAATAGCAAACAGGAATTGCTGAACCAACCTGGTGCTGATGATGATGTTTTGCTCCCTTTCTTGGATGACTTCATGCAGGTAGAAAGAAGTCTTGAAACTAGACGGCCTACTAGAGCATTAATAGGAATGGTCTTTATCATGGAAAGCAGCACTTGATGGCACTGATCATCATCAGCACTATGCTCCATTAAGGATTCCAGAAAGACCGCCAGAAACTTGTCAATGTTGAACTCCTTGGTCAATCCAGAAAGAATCCCAGAAAGATCACTTCATCACAAAACCAAAACCATGCTCATGAAACAAAGTAAAAGAAAAAGGCATAAAAAAGAAGTTAAAACACATTAGACTGTCTTTGACATTTTATATATATATAGCTTCTGGGGCATACCTAATGTCCTTCAAGATATCCACAACCTTTTTTGGGAGCACTGCCACAGATTGCAACTGGCATATAAACAACGTGGGTGTAAATTAACTGCATAAAGTTGCAACATAACAAACCTACATACAGAAACAACATGATAAGAGTATTATGCTTACCTACTCGTTTTTAAATAATACTTTATCATGAAACATGCAAAACCAGGTTTTTTAATAAATACTCTGTTCATTCACAGTGTAAGAAAAATTAACAAACTCAAACAACAGGACTTGACATGTTAGTACGGAAATAATGCTTGCAGTCAAACAACATTAATGAGGGGTCATCATCTGAAGATCTATGTACGGAACTGCAATAAACTGTTGGTGTAAAATAAGTTTGTTTCTAATGTTTTGGGGGAAATAGGAAGAGATGTATAGAAGTATAGAACTGCTTGTCTGCTTCAATGCACCAGCAAAACGATAAGTAGTGGTCCATAAATTAATGTCCAATAAACATAAGCTACAAAATGTATCATGAAGATGTAAAAAAATCCTCCTTTACAATGCCTATGTGATAGATGAAACAAAAATATTTCCTACCCTAATGATACGTCAGCATGTAATAATACGAGTTTTTACTACATGATAAATCAACAAACAAATGTTTTCTCCATGCGTCTAAGTAGCCTTGCATACTCAAATTGACACTACAAAAAGAAGAGGCATTGTACATGATTAGCCAACTACTATCTATACTGTGCTGTACAAAATTCAACAATGATGTCATATTTGGAAATATTAGCTTTCTTGATTGGCATGAGAGAACAAACTAACCAGTAATTGACAAAAAACCAGCTACTAACCATTATATAATCATCTTAATGAGACCTACACTTGTAAAGACGGTTAAAGCTTGTAACATAAGGGGCCACAGAAACAGATCATCTACAAATGTGTGTTCCAACTGCTACCCTACCACTAGTTTTTCCATGAATAAGTGAAACCCTGCCCTATTAACAGAAACAACGTCATATATTATACACTAGGGTATACTTTATGCAATGCCATGAAGAGCACTAAAACGTTAAATATGTATTAGCAAACATATGTGAAGATGAGTTGCCTTTAGGACTGCTTCTTGCTTGTTCAATTATAATGTAGATTAACTTGCAAGCCAAGAATACCTGTACGACATTGACCAAGGCCATTATTGACACACGAAACATCTGCAAGTCAGTAGATTGTTCTGCATCTTCACGAGCTACATCGGCAATGGAGCGGATCAAGCTTTTGACAAGATCAGGAGATAATGCTGATCTATTAGCTAGTAATCCAACAATCATCAAAGACCCAGCCTGTTAGGAAAACAATTAAATGCATCAGTATTCAGTACTATAAAATAGACGTTGCTACCAATTTATGGAAACCAAATAAACAAAATCCGTAACCTTAAACCCGCATCCAAATATTCACATAAAGACTTAAGGTCATCAAGACAAGCACTTGACTTGATTAGCAAGACAATTTAACAACAAACCAACAGTAATACTTCACACGCCAAGCTCTTCACTAGGCACCATAATGAAATAGAAAACAAGCCCGGTACAGAAGTTGAATACTACTTCCATTGCATTTTAGATGCATTTTTTCAATTTTGGGGTTCACTAGTCAATGTCCCATACTCTGAAAGATCCTATTTTCCATCAGTACCTTCTGCAATCAGATTTCTACACTCTTTCTTTCAGACTAGAGACTCAGCTCAATGGTAAAGAATATAACTCAAGTTAAACTAATGGACATCTCTTAAGCTTCAAATTTTGGGCAATGTAATTGAGGCATCTAAACTGGAACGGTGTACATATTCAGATAAATACCAAGACAAGAACGCTCTGTCCTCACCCCTTAAAACATCTCATGTGATCTCCAAGTGGAATCACCATCAACTAGAACTAAAAAAAAGATCACGCATGAAGGATGTTACTGCCCTGATATTATCAATATGAAACGTTTATATCAAATTTTGAAAATGGCAACATTGAGCTGCAACATTGAAATTTCAGATCATTGATGTTAGCCAAATAAAACAACTTCTCCTGCATAAAGAATGAACTAACTTTCAGAAATGCCATAATGTATTGAAACAGACCAATGATATCAACCCCATTATCTAGAGTAAGAAAAACATAGTTACAGTATTTAGAAAAAGAACAAAAGAATTCCCTCCTTCCCAGAATAAATGCACCACTTCCCTAAGCACATAGTTTAAACCAAATGCTTGACTATTAGTCAAATGTCTAAAAAGCCTCTTCATGAAGACAAAATAGAGGAAACTTGTGGACCAAGATAGAAGTTATCAATATCAAGTAATCATTACTGACTGATTGAGAAGTCGCCCTGAGAAAGGAATGTTGTACATTTTTCCAGTACAACCCAAAAAAATAAGTGTTGCATTTTTTTGGAATGGGGAGTACTAGATAACTGGAGTACTAGCGAGTACATATTCTCTATCTCACCTTGTGATCTATGTTTCCTTTTGAACGAGTCTGAAGCCCTGAAACCACATATGGAAGAATTCTCTTTACAACATCCGTGTCAATAACAGCAAGGGAGCCCAAAACCTCTATAACAACAGCAGTACAGAAGCTTATCACAGGTCTTGTTGGTTGAAGCTTCTTTGTAGGTGAGGCCTAAACAAAAGAAACTTGCAATAAGAAACTATGATCCATCTATGATAATGTTCCTATTAACACGTAAACATTGGTATAAAGACTTACGTAGTTGCATAAGGCCTCCAAGACCCCCATATCGTGCACTGATTGCTGCACAATAACCTTCCTAGGCGGCGGAGCACCAGAAATTTTGACGCCCTCAAGAAACTTCCATTTACCATGGCTAGAGCACAACAAGTTGGTAACCACAACATAAACACTCAAATGGTAACAAATTTCCGGAAAGGAAAAAAGAACAATACAAGAAGAGGAGTGAAAAGAGACCCATTTCTTACCCTGTGTCAAGAAGTTGCACCATCCGAACAAAAACATGTGTATCATGGTAAGGTAAAGCACATAAAATCAGCTCCTCTGTGTTGTACATGTGGATCCTATAGATAAAATGTATATGAACACGTGAATAGATATGTTAATATAAAAACAAGAGTAGCAGGTAAAAAATATAACTCTTCTTCATACTAAGCCTTATCCTAACAATAGACTCAAACAGCATCATATAAGAGAACTTAAAACTCAAACTGGTAAGGACATGAAAAGATCACGTATAAGTGCTGATACTTACTTATATCTACGTATTAGATATTCGAGTGTCCTAAGTGCTGAAGGTAGCATAAAATGTCCCGACAGCAACCGCAGATAAGAACTAATTGAAGCATTGATATGGTTATTGTCTTCAATGCCCAACAGTTCCCTATCCAGTTCCCTACTCTTGTGAGTGAACAAATCATTCTTGTAGTTCCCAAATCTTTCATCTAGGCTCACAAGAACCTCCAACCCTGAGAAAGCCAAAACTCAAATCACTCAAATTTGCTAAAATATAGAACCTTCTGGCTTAATAAACAATTATTTTTAATTTCTCAAAGTGAAAAATCCTGGTAGTCCAAATAAAATCAACAGTTGAACACTTCAGCTACTAAATTACATTGATCTGAGCATTCCTCCACCCATGACAAATTATATCATTTACTTGAACGTATGTTTTAATTACATAACAAAAAACATTTACATCAATGGTTGGACCAGGAATCAGAAAATTTGACTAAAGAGCCCAAATCTCAAATTGTTCAAACTAGCAGTGTCATTGAACTTCATAGTGCAATAATAATCTTCATCATGTGCAACACCAAGAGCTTCTAAAAGGTTAGATTAAATACAGGTGTGAGACGGTTGAAAACATGATCAAAGCATAGTCATTGATTAGGCATAAACCAATCAATCATGCAGTAGATCAGACTTACGCTTTAATAACAAAAAGTAGAACAATTTATATCAATAACTAGACCAAGAATTAAAGATTTGATCATTTGAATGTCAGAAACCAACTTTCTGATCAGCCAAAATCACAATACTAATAAATAAATTAGTTTCACATATAACATTTTCCAATTGCCAAAACTCGACAATCCTAAAATGCAAAGCAAAATTGAACGTCCAATAGTTGAGCACTTCCACTAGACTACACTGGTTTAAATTCGTAATTGTGAGACAATCGACTTTTGAATATCTTAGTAAAATTATCCTTTTGAGTACAAACGGTGATACTCAACATTCCTATGGACGGCCCTTGGCATGTTAAATGTGAGATTTTGAGCAGGGCCCCTATCTTTTGGGGCCCAAATTTATATGTGTTCGGGGTCTTTTTATCGACATGTAAAAGTATAGCCGGAATTATTTGTGTTCAAACCATTAATCGTTTGGTTTTAGGTTCAAATCATTAAAGGTTTATGTTTAGTTCAGATTGTTAATCGTTTTGGATTTAGTCCGTTTTTGTTCTTAACATATATTATTTGTTATCTTATTTATACAATTTAATCAAAAAAATTGGATGTAACAGGGCCTCCAAAAAGATTGGAATGCCCCTGATTCCTAATATCCAAGTGGGCTGCTTTTCAAGTCAGAAATCTACATGGAAACTAAAGTTTTCAAAAATGAGAATTGCTGGCTACGTTAAAGTTTGGTGTTAAATCGGCAGCAAAAAACCAATATCAGCTTTTCACTTGAAAAATCCAGGTTCAGCATCAAAAAGACAATCTATAACATACTTTTCGAGACGGCATGCAATCTATACCAATCTATTCATATCAATACCTGAGAGGGCAAGGCTAAAGATAGTGTCAAGGTCGATATCAGCTGCTTCTTTGGCGTCGAACAATATCGAGGGGCGAGTAAACGGTCTTTTGAGAGGGTCTGTATCGGCTTTTACAATTGACCTGATTGCCTGTAGTTGTGAAGCGATTGATGTTGCCATTGTTATTCCTTTGAATATGATTGTTTGATTCCTGAAGTGATTGTATTGAACTGCTAGAGTTGTGCTTCCGACTGGATTTGATAAACCCTAAACCCTGAAGGAGCAGAGGTGGTTGCTGGTTGCAAGTGCCAAGGAGGGCTACCGACTTCAAATGAGATGGCGCGGGTGTTTAAGCCCTTCTAGGGTTTATGTTTTGCTGTAGGTTCTTTTCATATATGACACAAATGGTCCCTTTACTACTGCTGAATCTACACTTAGATCCTCCTTTTTTAGAACTTTATTAATAATTAAATCAATATTTCAAATACAAACCATGTAAATGTTAGACACTCAATATTGGTCCTTGATTTTACGTATTTTAAAATTATTAAATCGTTGTAGATAAAGTTGAGAGTAATTTTTGGAACCGATTTATTAATTTGCATTAACAGTTGAGATTTGCTTGTACGTTTTGAACTATTTGGCATGTTCACTTTTATAACTGATGACATAAATGTTGGTTTTCATAGGAACGATAAACATGTATTTATTACCACAACATCAATGTGATGCCATAACGATGTGAATACGGTATCCTCCTATGTGGTTAATAGTTTGGTATGTCCTAAATTATATAGGGAAAAGTCTAAAAGATTCAATCGACTTTAGTGTTTGGAATGATTAAATCCTTGGACAATTTTTTGAAACAAATAAGTTATTGGACATTTCAAAACATGTTAAATAACTTTTTGGACTATCTAAAACATGTTATATACATCATTTATGACCTATAAACTTGTTAATGTGGTAAAATATTGGAAAAAAAACCTGGGAAAAAAAAAGTCAATGAACTTTCATGTTTTAACTAATTAAGTCTGTAAACATTTTTTTAACCAAAAAAATACTTATCTACACTATATTATAAAGCATTTGACAAAAACTCTTAAAAACCAGTTTTTATGCATGAAGTACTGTTTATTGATGTATATTACTTAAAAATCAAGATTACAAGTAAAGTTTGCGTAAGTACAACTTATTAAAGTTTCATGTTTGAATTTGTGTAATTAACTGTAAATAAACGTAATAAAATATAGGATAAACATCTCATTTAAAAAGAAAAAAACATTTGACAAAAACTCTTAAAAACATTTCTAACAAAATACTTAATTATTATTTTTATAAAAAATTATATTATTAAACAGAAAAAAACGAATTAAAGAAATACACAAAAAAAAAATTAAAGTCATTTTTTGTACTAATATCAATATTTTTTTTTCAATTTCTTATAACATCGACCGAGACACAAAAAAATAAAAGGCAAACATTAAAATCGAGATCAATCTCGCTGTATTATGCGAGTACTCTTCTAATATCTATAAAACGAAACAAATACACAAAAAAAATACTTACATTTACAAATAAATACTTAAAGAGTATTGATGAAAAAAAAAATTCTATGTACATGACAATTGAAAAAAAAATCATCAAAAATCAATCAATATATCAAAATTTCTCGATATATCAATATATATTTAAAAATATATTAATATAAGATCAAGAGGTAGTTCAATAAAAAAACTTTCAATCATATTTATTTTTTAAATGAAATTAGAATCCACAAATATATGAAATACACACACACACACACACACACATATATATATATATATATAATAATACATACATAGAGGAAAGTTCGAACGAGAACGTTAATTATTTAAAAAAAAAAGAAAAATGTCGTTAATGTACAAACTCACATGTGATTTTAAATGGAAGCTTGCGACTTTTGAGGCCACTTAAGTCGCAGGGTAAAGTCGTCTGGATCATGTATGAGTTGTTATATGAATCATATATAATTTTATTTTTAATAATGCAATTATATGATAAATTAATTGAAGAATTTTAAAGGTATTCACTCATTTCTTAAGGTGCAACATGATTGCAACCGTCGATGTTCATAATTCTGGACATACAAGACGTTTACGTTTCTCTCTCCACTAAGTAATCATTTTGCTTTATGAGATTAGTTATGTATAATATAAATATCTTTTGGGCTTTCTTTAATTTACTTGCTTTATATGTGTTAAAACAATATATTATAAATTGATTTTTTATGATACTCTTGATAGTTCTTTTTCTTATGCCAAAACTTTTATAAGTTATCTTTTGGTTGCGTAAGTGTTCATTGCTCAATTTATTGTCAATCCAAATAGCCATACAGATTCCTTTTTACAACAAAGCAAGAAAATGAAAAGTTGAAGTTAGATTAATGCAATGTCTTAGGATTGACTCATCGTATATTTTAAGTTTTCCAATATGGTTCTTTTTTGCTTCTTTCAATTGATTTTCTTACATCAATTTAAGTTGAAATATTTGAAGGAGACATATATTTATGTGAAATATCTTTTATTCTTGAGTGTGTCAAATTCCTTGATATTTTCGTGTTATTATTATTTATTTTATTTAGTTTTACAACTTTATTCCTAAACAAATCTCTCTCTCAATGTATATATATATATATATATATATATTAAAATTTCACTAATTATATTTTATTTAACTTTTTAGAATTATTTAAATACTATTTGTTGATAATTCTATTAACAACTAATACATATTTATATAGACAATCTTTAGATTATTATGTGTTGCACGGTTCCCATACTAGTAAATTGATTAAACACAAATTTTATAAAACAGGATAGTTGTTTGTTATTCAATCTCCCCTCCTAATATTTTGCCAACCATCCTCGTTGTGTGTTTTCATATTGACTTTTAATCGGATATTTGATTTAAATCCGCAACTTTCACGTACCATAACTTCATTACATTAGTCCGTTACTATTACATACTCTACAAACGAACCTAAAAGTTGTGATATTACAACAGTTAAATTTTTCATGATTGCTAGTGATGTTGAAGTTTAATATTGTTCTATATAAAAAAAAATATAGCTATTTTTTTTTACAAGCAAGTTAATAATATAATAAAAGAACATATTACATTTCTCTCTCTCTCTCTCTCTCTCTCTATATATATATATATATTAGAAGGATACTCGTGCAATGCATCGAGACATTTTCCCATTTCAATGTGTCGTTTTATTTTTTATCCATGTCGATATAATACGATTTTATATGGTTTTGGAAAAGCGATAATGTTTCTATTTTTTAATAAAATATAAATTTGAAAATATCATATAAGATTTGCAAAAAGTATTAATATTAGTATCAAATTAACTAGTTAAAAGTTCTTGTTTGTTTATTTTTTTTAATTCAATTTTTTTATTATAATTTAATTTAACGTAACGATGTAACTTAATTTAGGTTTAATAATATTTTTTTATAAAGATAATAATTAAGTATTTTGTTAGAACTCAATAATTATCCTAATTATATTTTAGATTTTTTTATATTTTAAAATGAGATGTTTATTCTCTATTTGATTATATTTATCCGCAGTTACTTACACAAATTCAAACATATAACTTTAATAAGTTGTATTTATGCATAATTTACTTGTAATCTTAAATTTTAAGTAATACGCATTAATATACAGTACTTTATGCATAAAAAATGGTTTTTAAAAGTTTTTTTCAAATGTTTTACAATATAGTATAGATATGTGGGCAGGTTCATTTAGAAACCTTAAATATTTTAGGAACCCAAGAAGGTTCATTTAGAAACCTTAAATATTTTAGGAACCCAAGAACCATCTATTTTGTAAATATTCATGATAAAGATTATTTATCATGAATATTTTATCATGTTATTCTTCATAATACTTATAAAAATGTGGTTTTTGTGCTCCTAAAATATTTAAGTCTCATGAATGAACCCTCTCTCCCTCTATATATATATATATATATTATAGTTTATATATATATATATATATATATATATTATAGTTTATACACTTACTTTGTAGCTAAAGATGCAAGAAGAAAAACATATTTTGACCCATTGTAAATTTTTGTGTACAAACCAAGACCATTGGTCGAGTTTTTCATGCCATACACTAAGGCATCAACATCTTGAATGGAGTACAGAAGAATTATACCACCATTAAAAAAAAGTGTTGGTTGTAGTATATGCTTTCGTAAAGTTTATAGCATATTTAATTGGCGTCAAAGCAAAAGGTCAGATTAAACTATTGATCATTAATCCTTACAAGGGTATAAGGAGGTTATTTCCATGGTTTAAGAAACGTACGTTCTGAGGTGCACCTCAAGGCGAGACGTCCAAAGAACGTATTTAAAGGCTGGCTGAATCGTCCGTTTTGGTTGCTTGAAACATGGGCAAAGGAGATGATACAGTGGGTGTTGAAGAGACGTGCTTGTTTTTTGTTAATAAAAAGGTAAAACCTTAAAGTTAGTCAAAGAAGTACAACGTATTTCTCTATCTCATTCTCCTCCCATTATTTTGGTTTTTACAAGTGTAACTATATATACATATATACAAGTGTAACTATATATACATATACATATATATATATATATGTTTGTGTATGTGTATGTATATATCATGATTTTGTGTTTTATGATGTCACGGTCTGGTGTAAATATGAAATTATGTTTGTTTTTGTTAAGTGTTATGTATTTATGTTTTTTTTTTTTTATTATGGGGCTTACGTCTCACGTACCTAAGGGAAAATGCCTCGAGGCTCGTTTCCGTTTTTTAAAACCTTGGGTATTACAATACCAAACAAACAACTAATCCAGTTCAATACAATCCAATCTCGTCCGTCCACCAACCAAAACATTCATAATCTATACTATATTATAAAACATTTGATAAAAACTCTTAAAAATCATTTTTTATGCATGAACTTTTGTTTTTTTCATGTATATTATTTGAAATTCAAGATTACAATTAAATTATGCATAAGTACAACTTATTAAAGCTTAATTTTTAAATTCGTGTAACCAACTCAAATAAACATCTCATTTAAAATATAAAAAATCTAAAATATAATTAKGATARTCATTGAKTTMTAAYAGAATAYTTAATTATTATYTTTATAAAAAAWTATATTATTAAACAAAAAAATAAATTACTTTATTATTAAACCTAAATTAAGTTATGACAAAAAATTGAATTAAAAAAATTACATAAAAATCAAGAACTTTTAAATAGTTAATTGGATACCAATATGAATATATATAATTCAAATTTTTATCATGTCTTTAAATTTATATTTTATTCGGAAATAAAAACATTATCGTTTTCTCAAAACCACATAAAACAGTATTATATCAAAAAAGTCAAAGAATAAAATGAAACATTAAAATCGAAATGTATCTCACTACATTAACTACCGCTTTAGTTATTTTTAAAAACATAAATAAGTTATCTATTTGAAATGTCATATAAAATCACCTCGTCTAATTTGTGGTTTTTAATCCCAAGTCATATTATTTAGAACAAATTTCAGTTTGGGATTGCTTAAAAACAATTTATTGACTTATTCCGGTGTGACACCGGTAATAAGCATTTTTAATGTTTGGATAAACAACTTATACCGATGTCAAACCAGTAATAAGAAGTTTTTGAAGAAGTTAAACCCTTCTGATTTATATTATGTTGATAAGTGTTTTTGTAGAAAAGTATAAGTTGTTTCAAATAAGCAATTCTAAACACCCCTTAATATTATCATCCAAATAAATAAAACCATTACAATTCATGATTTTTGAAAACCAAGGTTGAAACTCCATTAATTAATATTTGATTATTTAATAATGTCTCGTATATAATATTTTGGTCGGTCCTAACTTAGAATAACGTATCAATTTAACAATTCGTTAAGACATATAAGGCAATACATCACTGGGTACTCAAATAGATCCTAAATCGATAATTATGATGTATTTACATAATACATGAATGATTTATGAAGACTTGTCGGAAAAATGACTCAACTTTATTTTGTGTTTTTTGTTGAAACAATTACATCAAATCTCACCTCTGATTTTTCGTAGAACTTTTGGTGTTTGCTTTCTCATAGCTCAACAAGACATTGTACAATGTAATTGCCGCTTTAATAGTCTCGTTGGCAGAAAGAGTTTTACAATTTCATCATCATCATCATCATTAAGACACGATTCTCAGTTCTTTGTTCATCATTCAACATGGCTGCAATGGCTCACTTTGTAAAACCATATTGTTCTTGCAATTGCTTTTTAGTCACACATCCTTGTTGTGCTTTCTACAAATTTCATCCGTCATTGTTGATTTCCTCACCTTAATATGAAAAACCATGTTGTGGTAGCATGCATGATCAAGTCTTGTGTTTAAATAATAAATACTTTCTAGTATCCATAAAGTGGAAGATTGGAACCATAAGGGTGGTGTCTGATTGGTTTGAACTTGGCTTCAAAGATCAAAAGTATCAGGAGATCTCAGGTTCAAATTCAAGGAAAAATAAAAATCCCCTTGTGACCACAGAAATTCAAATGCAGTGACTCCGGACTATCTGCAAAACAGGTGGTCGTCCTAGGATTAGTCGGCTCGTATAACGGGTTGGATATCCAAGTTAATTAAAAAAAATGGAAGATTGGTGTTCCATAAATTGGCATTTCCTTAAAAAAAATATTTACTTGATTATAAATGCATCTATAAATTTATAAAGTATTAATTTATATATAAATCAACAATTATCAAAATTTGGTGGTTCTAACTCATTAATTTAAAGAGTTTCACAATGTTTAATATTTTGAAAAAAAAAACAATAAAATATCAATTATGTAGCTAAAATAATGATAAAAACATTATACCAACTTTATGTATTTTTAATATTTAATATTGATGTTATTTTAACTGTTTTGAAACAAAGTTTTTAACCATATATTTTGTTATATCATATAAATTTATTGTGTATATTTGGAAAATCCTTTCACCTTTTAGCCTATATTTTTAAGGTTTCTTTTAAAATAGTGAAAATTTTGGGAACAAAGTCATTCGTGAAATCTATTATTTTGTTAATTTTATTAGGAAAAAAGACATAATAAAAGGCAAAAGACAAAAATACCCTCAAACTTATCGAAATGAATAGACAAACAGGACCAAAACCATAAGAAGGTGCATTCCCCCAAAATATTCTACATAATAAATAAAGTGTAGAAAACAATTCCGCATACCACATAGACCAAATCAATAATTTACTCATACATTTTAATGTTGGAATCACATAAAATTTGTGTCCTTAATCGTTTGTATATTTATTTACATATATAAATATATTGTCTTTTATATTTTTTGGAGTAACTAAGTATAATAATGGGAGTATTGTGATGGAGAGTTACATCCCTTGAAAAAGTCACTCTCACACACCCCTTGATTTATTATATGTAGATATTGGTGGTTGATTTGTCTCTCACGTTACTATCTTTCCTTCTAAAATTTCTGCAACTCTCTGATAATCAGAAGGAACAAAACACACAAAATTTATCCATCAGATTATAGTAACGACTAACGAAGAGAAGCAATCAACAATCTAAATTTGTTCTTCATGACATTTTCGAGCGGAACAAAAATAAACACTTCAAGTAACTTTTATATGTATCGTTATATCTTGAATTTCACATGTATGATTAGGGATTGATATGCATATGTTTTGGGATTAACTTTAACATTAAGTCCTCACCAAGGTTTGTAACTTCTAATTCCTCACGTTTATAACCAATCGACCTTCAAATGTACATTCCAGCATCAACATTGCTGTTGTAAGTTGATAAAGGTTTCAATTTCTAGCACCTTTTGCTGGATGGGAGTAAAGAGAGCTAGCAAACTGAGTTGACATGCAACAAGACAATATCATGGGTTGAGCGTCATCACGTGGAGCTTGCAATAACTCTGCAGATGCCTAGAAAAAGGACGCAAGTACATGTGAACACTGGTCAAACGTTAAAATCCTTAAAATTGATATTTTCTTATATAACGAAGAATGGAATTAACAAGATCAATCCGGAAGTTCTGACTGATTCTGATAAGATATAGTCATTCAAACTGTTTCGTTTGTTATCCTGCTTCCCGAAGAGTTTGGCAGAATAGCTCTATTTCTTCAAGTAGTCCTTCATTTGAAGATGATTCATGTGAAATGAGGTTTATGAGGACCTCATAAACTTTTCCTGGATCATCTGGGAAGATAACCGAATTCTTCGTGTCCTCTGTGCACGAATCTTGAATGTCATCCGAATAAACACGTTTTCTGCACGCCTGCAATAGATGAACAACACTTAATGCTATGCTATTAAGCCTTAAAAATCTATGAGTTATTTTATCACCTGGAAAAGCTGATTTAGACAAGCAATATGCTTAGATTCAAGGTACCCCGAATGTAGAAGCTCTCGAAATAACATCACCATTTCGTGAGTTATGTTACTTGGTGAAAGGTTTTGAATGATACCACTTATGCAAGAATCATCAAAGACAACAGATATCCATGGAGGAACCTGCTGCAGTTTTAGCATTGACACTGCTATATGAGCTGCTGGCATGTGATGAATCATGATGGATTTTGATGCCAAATTTTTTGGTACAGCCAAAGTCATTACCATCTCTTCGGTTATCAATCGATACCAATTATCTCTTTTAACAACTTGGGTTTCTTTGTCGTGTTTTTCCCAATCCTCGATCATCGCTATACAGAGGGCACAATTCATGGCGACCCGTGTATCACTGTGAAATATTAAGCCGTCTAGGATAGAGGTCATGGATCGTATATGATGGGAATGGTGTGTGACTTTTCCTGATTCTTTCCTTTTTTCTTCAGTGATTCTCTGAAATACTTGGAGCAAGCAGTATGAAGATACCAGTTTGACCGGAGAAGACCCGAAATGCAACAACCTGCTTAAGTCATGGCAATGAATGCTGATGTAGGATAATGACTGCTGCTTTCTGTTGTCACTGTCGAGTAAGCTTTGTGCATTTTCAATTCCCGGTAGAATATCGTGCACACTAAAACAAAACAAGAGTGTTGAAAACATAAAATCCTTCTATTTCTTCTGAGTTAGGAAATGAAGGTTTATTAAAGAGTAAAATGCATCAGAATGCAACAAAGTTTAGTTTAGTTCTTATTTAGTGAAACGAAGAATTTTTTGTCAATGTTACAAAGTTACATTTTTCCCACTATTTTTACCACTGTTGAGTGGTAACTTGCAGATCTTGTAAAAGTTGATAACGTGGATACTTGTTTATGAAATGTTTTTGGAAAGGCTACACAACATGAATGATATACTTGACACCCACGTCCTCATATGTTACAAGATTAGCAGGCTAGCAGCTCATGGATCTGGGTAAAAAACATGAAAATTTGAAACTTTGTTACATTGGTTGAAAAAAAAGTCTTCATTATACTCGATAGAAACTAAACCAAATTTTATTGCATTTTGTCCTCTATATAACAGGGAAACTAACCTTTTGTGACAAAAGTAATTTAATAAGAGCAAAAATATCAGGCCTTCTCCGGTCTGAGTTGTCTCATCATGATCAAATAATGCAGATCCTTTTAAACAGGCTTCATGGATCAGTTTGTTAACTAGTGAGATCAATGGAATGTTCAAAAGGATGGTCTTGGAAGCTTCTACAAGCTTCTGATGAAGAGAGTGATGCAAAATCAGGGAAAGAATGCCCATAACTAGGAGAGCTTCCTGAGTGTACCCAATTTCAGTAATTGTCGAGATCAGGTAGTGCATCAACTACAAAAGAAGCAAGGTTAGATTCGTTTCCATAACTAGGATCGTATTGAAGCTTAACCAATACATCCTCCGTCCCAAAATAAGTCTCTGTACTTGTATTTTAGTTTGTTCTAAAATAAGTGTCCACTTTTAGAAGCAAGCGCCTCCTCCTTAATTTTACTGAAGAAATTCATTACTCCAACCGTCACTTAATTAACAAGTGTAATAATTACACATTCTCAAAACTGTATGCCTTTCTCATTATGGACATTAATTTTGGAAGAAGGAAGTAGTTAGATTACCTTTGTTGATACTGTAATCCAGGCTTCATTGTCAGAAAGTGATTCCGAGTTAACTGAATGTAATATTGTAAAAACTAGTTGACAAGTAACATTGAATATCTCTGCAGAAGAAGAATACTGATTATAAAGATCCTGGATTGCAAAGGCTATTTCATTCAAGGATAATTGCCCTGAAGCAGCTGGAAATAACGCGGTGATTGCTGCAATCGTATTTAATAATAGAACGATATCATGTTTTTGTCCACTTTCTTCCACAAGCTCTCTCAATAAACATACCAGTAGTTTGGCTGCATAATTATCTCCAGATGCTACCAACTCAGCTAGTTCTCTAAATTTTACGGTTTCAGTATCGTTGCAGTCAACAATCTGGTTTCCATAGACAATACAATGCCTACACCACCTTAAAACCTCGCTAGATAGATATTTACAAATTCTCTCTTGTTGAAACAACCATTTCAGTGATGTGGTGTGAATTCTTTTAAAAAGAAGTTCACATTGTTTTTCTGCCACAATATAGAAGAGGGTACTTTCAGCTTCTGGACTATATGGTATTTGGTAATTTATCTTGGCCAGACCCCTATAAAGGCCATACAGAATTACGAGTACTTGCATGATCAGTGGTTCGACAACCCCACCTAAGATTTCAGATTGGTTAAGTAAAATATATTGCTCCAGAGAAGCTAATACCATCCTATCATCTGCAAGCCTTGGGGAAGACATTTTAAGCAATTAAACACCATAATTAAGGATGTAATAACATTTTGGCATTCACAGAAACATTTTCTTTTTTTCTTCTTGCAGAAAATAACCATATAAGTTGAACAATCATTCGTTCTTTTTTCTAAAAAATCTGAAAGTGTTTAAAAAGGTAATCGTATCAACAAGAAAATGTCAGAGCAGTTCCAAGGATGCCAAAGGAAAGTAATCATGACAAGTGTCAAAATGAAGACTTTGTTACCTGTCATCATACAAGGAGCTGGTATATAGTATTAGCAGAATTGCAGATTGGCAGCAAAAGACTTCCTGATTATGGGATCCCTTCTGTCCCAGCAGAAACAACAAATCTATAGGATCGAATGGAAGATGCAAGGCAACATCTCTAATGGATTGGCCGGAGTCATTACCAAGAAGCACATCCAAGATCGAGCTCAATAAGAAATAAACTCTCCATTTCATCCTCTCAGTAGGAAAAAGGCCTAAACATCCGAATGAAAAACTGAACCAAGAGGATGAAACAAGAACATGAACAAATTCCTTGGGTTGGAAATCAGAGTGAAGCAGTATTGTGTGAAAAATCTCAAGTACACCCAAGGCAATATCCACATCGATCTCATTAATGCTCATGGAAATCCAAGGTAATAGTTTAGCTTCACATATGTTTAATATACAATCACGTAATCCCATATAGATGGAATTTGTGGGGTTCCCTTCAAAACTATATTCATAGGCCTCCTTCAGTAAGTAGAGGGAGTGTAGCATTTGGAAGGAATGTTCCCTGTAAGAGCTCAAGCAGGTTGCAATGGTGTATCTTGATATATCTTGTAGTGATATGGCAATACTTGGAGTTCCATGAGAAGATGGAGACTTCATGAGAGCTACAAGGACCGAGCAAACCATGGTGAATGTTTCTGGAAGCATGTTAGCCTCGCCATCAATATGTTTCTTGAGCATCCCAGTCATTACAAGGTTTATTTCTTCAACATTGGAACTTGAAATGATTCCAGGACAGTTTGAAACACATTCTGATATTAGCTTTATTGATCGAGATTGAGCAGGATGAAAAGGTACTTCAGCAACATGACGAAGAACAGGAACTAAAGTTGTAAACCCAATAGCAAGCCTTTGCTTGAAAGCTACCTCTGCCACTGACAAGAGATCAAGAACCTGCAGGGATGAGCTGACAAGAGAATCATTTTTGCACCCTGTAAACACAGAAGTAGAAGTTTATACCAGCTAGAAAGCTGCAGAATGTAGACATAATTTTATTTCTACTATTTTCTTGTGACAACCAAGTTGGTTCTCGTGAGAAGGCTTGACCACTGACTTGAGTGACCCAATAAAATATTTTACTCCTTTCTCTTTATGAAATCTACTAATCAAGTCTTGGAAATGAGACCTGAGTGACAGAACAGACCCGTTATATTCCTAAGCAAAATGAGTAGATCAAAGAATGTTGAACTTACCCAACAATCTTAAAATTTCAAAAACATAGTCAGCAATATTCTCCTCAACCAGAACTTGGACCTCTTTTTCTGAAACACCTCCACACGACAAATACAGAGCTATCAAATCTAATGTGGCGGTTTGAACCTCACAATCTGAAGAAAGCAGAGGTGCTTTTATGGCTTCAGCAAACAAGAGATTCAAAGGAGTCTTTTGTAGTTCATGCTCAGTTGTTTCCATAAAGTTATCTGCTTCAGGGTATTCCTTGAGGGAAAATGTCACATCATTTTCAAATGCATTCTCGAAGAACCCTGTTCGTGCAAGCACGGACAATAGCGCTTTGCAGAAGTAACATAAAAATGTTATTTGATGAGATATAAGTAATAACGATAACTAAGTAAAGATTGATTTCATATATGTATTGTCTATTGAAAGTTCATGGAGCAAACAATAGAGCACGTGGATTCAAACAATATGCAACAAATATGGAACTAGTAGGTATTGACTTGTTGCCCAGTTGGGCTTGTTCAAAGGGTTGGGACTCCCTTATGATAACCTACAGGTCATGACTTTAACTCCTACCATTTGGCATGCCAAGTAAAACCACGGATTCGCGGGCATTATAAGATAATACTCGTTTGAAAATTTCCAGCACAAAAAAAGAACCAAAATTACAAAGAGAGTTGGGGAAAACAAGTAGCAGAAGCCTATGTGTAGCTCAACAAACAACGTTGTTTTCTGTTTTAAATAGCAAACGCAAGAATTTCATATGCTCAGGTGACATTTCGTAAATTTTTCTGAAAGAAGTCAATGATATATCATTTCATGTTGCAAAAGTGGAGTTTCAGTTTCATGAATAAAACAAGCAATCTTGAGGTAATTATCCAAATCCATGATCACATGATTATTGACTTGCATAACTCAAGAATTCAAGCAATTTGGAGCAAGCTACTAGTGACAATTATTTATGCTACACATTCAGTATTAGCTTATGTCATGATTCAAAAGGATTCTGTCATTAGTGGACCAATATGTAACTGCAGTCATGCATGAAAAATCCGCAACCATGGTTAGTTGTAGCAACTTAAATCCTCGCATCAGAATCAGCTGACATCCTAGCGTGGTTAACTTACAATCAAAGGCAAAAACCATAGAAATACATAAAGAACAGTGTTAGAGAACCATGGAGTATTGACTAACCTACACAATTCAAGCGAACATCATCACGATGGCTCTTCAAGAGGATTTCTAATGACAAATATAAGATCCTTAAAGAATGGCCATATAGGACACCACCTTCGCTATTACCTATGCATGCATGCTGGATCGAGCAAATTTTGTAAAGAACAAATAGAATCTCGCCTTGGATCTCTTCACTGCATTTAAGAAGATAAGAAAGACGAGTAGTAAGGATGCAGCATAATGAATTATGTGCATATATGTAATCATGGAGTTCACTCCAACTGTTACCTAGGCAACTGGAGACCTGTTACAAGGTTAAGCAAAAGTGCATCCTTGTCTTTAATATGGCTGTACGGATCATTCTTCTGATTATCCAATAGAACACCTAAGCAATGTAGCTAAAGCATGAAAACGTCAGCTGAAAATTAGGCTACTTAATTGGAAATGTCTCTGGAAAAGCGAAAAATAGTCATGAATGGTTCAATGGACTAATCACCCAAGAAAACTAACTTTGGCACCATCTGAAAATTGAGTACAAAGTGTACCTCGGTACCTTAAGGTACGAACTCTAGGTGACACTACTAAGGTGATAGGGTAGCGTATTGGCGTTAAATCAGCATATTGTTGGTCTTAAATCACATAAGTGCACAATCTAAGCGAGAAGGAAGATCTTAAGCTACATAACAGTGGGTTAATGAATAATGCCCCAGATAAACGTAAGCTGACAACTAACATAAACCATCATTTTTCAACAGTAAAATGATATGTTAAACTGTGATATGAACATAAACAAGTCTGAGACACTACCAATCATCGTATTTATATAAGATATCAAAACGTAATTCGACAAACTTCAATATTCTAGATCATGTGCAAAATGCTTCAAGGACGTCCAGTTTGTAGAAGCACAAAAAAGTGTCACAGAGCAGACACAGAGAAAATACAAAACCACGGAAACAATTACCATGTAAGTTTGACGCTGGCTCCAATACAAGGAACCAGACGACAACCGATCTGAAACCCTAGCAACAAACTCGCTGTAAATTGAACAATCACCAGAGGTGCACAATTCGTAAATCACATCAATCATCTGTTTGGCGAGCGGCTCGTCTTCTATAGAAGAAAGGGCGGACATGAGAGGAGAAATGAGAAAATGAGGATGAAAAGTAAGAAGACTGTGGAGGAAAGAGGGTTGAGAGATGGCATGGGAGAGCTGAGAGAGGGCGTAAGAGACGTGAACGGTAGGGGAATTAGGATTTGAGATAAGATTGGATAGACAGACTAAGCAGATCGATCCGCCTTCTAAAGTTTGGAGTATCAGAGACGAAGTATGGCCTTGTGAGCATGTTTGGTGTTGCCGGTATTGGAAATGCTGGTCGGAATCTGGCCGTTGATGATGATCGGAGCCGATGAAGTACATCGTATAGTTTTTTTTTTCCCGCGTGATTGTACACTGCAAATATTTTGTGGAGACTTTTGAGAGTTCAGTTCATTTCGGTTAGAGTTATATTTCAAAATATCTTCAAAATAAAATAAAACTTTAAATCACGATAATTGTTTACCAAGTAAATTGTTGTAGATATCATTTTGGTGGACTAAAATCATAACCAATAAACACTTATCGGGTAAATGTTCGATAAACAACTCCTAAGTTACACCATCACCATTAGGTTGGAAAATTATTTCTAACTGTTAATGAAATTTAGAAATTATATCAACAATCTTTAATTTTTGAATCTTTTGATTTTGCTTTTATAGATTATCCTTTTTTGAACATATGTTAAGTTGTTCATGTGTTGTACACGGCAATATATAATGTCAGGTGGGTTTGATAAATTGAATAGGTAAAATAAGGTGGAACAAACTTATATTTATTAATATATCTTCAAATAAAACTTTATTTTTTTTTTAAAATATCAAATAAGCATCATTCTTTGCATTTTATCTATTCTTTAAATTTTATTTATTATATTTTATGTTATTTAAACTTTTACATTATTGTCTTTAAAATATTATTTTTATATAATTTCTATATTTTGGTTAATTTATGTAATTTATTAAATATTAATACTTAAAAAAATAATATAGAAAAGGTATAAAATAAAACTTGAAAATGAACTTCAAATTTTGGTATCATTTTAATCGTCTTGGATAATATTTTCTGATGATATATTTTGTTACAAAAAATATTTATTTTATTATAGTTTAATAAATTACATACATTAATTAAAATATATAAACAACTCGTTAGTAGTAAATTGACCATTTTACCGGTCATGTTATGTTGAATCCCATCTTACAAAATGTTGAACACCTATTTTGTCATGTCCCGTCTGTATACCAAACATACTTCAATTTGTTGTTCGCGTTTCACTTATAACGTCCAAGGGCCCCACCTGTTTCACTTCCCACAACTCCTACTACGAATGCAACAATGGTGATTTGCAAATGTGGATCCATTCCGATCATGAAAAAACATCATGGACCTCCTTAATTTCAAGTTGTCGTTACTACTACTCAAGAAAGGTAAGTGTATTCTTCATATTTTATTTCAGGTTTACTAAGATTCAAGAACAATCTTGAACGACCGTGAAGACAGAGGATGCTCGAGTTCATAAGTTGAAATTGACTTTGTTTGTGTTGTTGTTTGTAATTAATGTCTTTTGGTATTAATGTTGATCCTCTCTCTCAGTGATTTGATGATAATCTCTTTTCTCTTTCACGTTGTATTTGTGTTTCTGTATTTTCAGTTCCAGCGATCATCATTGAGTATGTTCAGTGATCGCTGAAGAACTTGCATTGTAAATTCATCAGAGACAAACAGCAATACTTCAAGAAGACAACACTCACACCAAAAAACCTTCAGCAAACGTCGAAGACTGAAACTGAAGATTAGAGACTGGCGAGTACGTGATCTGAAGCGGTATTCAGTGATTACAAGCCTGTCTATACATGTGTGAAGACTGCTCTAGCTTCAGCGAATGATGATGAGACCTCCAGGTCATTCCAGCATTCAACGATCAAAGGAAGCTTGCTTAGCACGATTGTTGTTGTCTTGTCCTTATGCACACAAACGACAAACTCATACCCTTACAAAAGTTAGTACGGTACGGAGCCGATTAGTCGACTCTTTGTCCACCAACTTTAGGCAAGGATGTCTGCTCAGAAATAGTGCTTTTGTACTATTCACTGTAGCAAAGGACAAACCTTCCTCTTAAGGTTTGACAGGCACTCTAAACCTACCATAGTGCATTAAATGATCATTTAATGCACTGGGTATAAATAGAAGTGTTTCTTCTCCATGCAGAGAGCGCGCATCTCTCTCTAACCTTATTCTTACTTCAAGCATCTTCTAGCTTAAGTAAAGGATCTTTCTTTTAGCATTCTCTTTTTTTGTATTTGCTAAAGCTCTGTGTGTAACCAAAGATTGTTTAGATAGGTTTTCATTACCTTATCTTTTCGCAAACAGTCTTGTAAAATCTGTATTGATCTTCTATATCAATATATATTTTAAATTTAAAAATATTGTGTTTGTATTCATCCCCTCCTTCTACAAACTGTTTCTATTCTTGTAGACCCTTACGGGACCAACAAGTGGTATCAGAGCAATGTTTTCTTTCTATATTTGTGTTTGACTAATTTTTTGTATTAATTTATCTCTTCTTAAATAACTTACTGCTTACAAATGGCTTTACAAATTACAAACACACACACACAAGATAATGACTCTCTTGCCAAACCTCCATGGTTTGTCCGTGACAACTTTAGTCTCTAGAAGAACCGGATGTCTCTCTTTCTGGAAGGTGTGGATCCTGAAATTCCACATTACATAGAAAATGAACCATATAATCCATTTGCTATTGTTCCGGCTATTCCAGCAACAGCTACGGCTGCCGTGATTCCTGAACGGCAGATTCTAAAGCTTCCACATCAGTGGAGCGATGAGAACAAGAAGAAAATAGCTATAGACACGCGTGCTCGGTCTATAATAGCTATGTTTCTTCCTAATGAGATATATCACTCTATGATGAAACTCAAAACTTCTAAATCCGTATGGGATACTCTTTGTGTCCAATACGAAGGAACCACTCAGGTTCAGGAGACTAGAAAGATCAATCTAGTAAGACAATATGAAAGCTTTCTCTGTGGAAAGTCCGAGACACTATCTGAAGTACATCAAAGATTTAATTGCCTTCTTATTGATCTTAGGGCTGTCGACAAGGAATATTCTAATTTTGAAACCTTGACTAAGTTTCTAGAATGCCTTCCTGAGTCTTGGGACACCTTTTCCATGTGTCTCAAGATGTCAAATGACATGTCCACTCTTTCTCTTTCTACCTTATACGGGATTCTGCTTAACCATGAGCAATCTCGTCAACTGAAAAGAAATATTGTAAAATATTCCAGGGAAATGAAAAGCTCTCCTTTAGCTTTGATCTTAGAAGCTTCTTCAGTTGAAACTTCTACTCCTTTTGTCTCTTCTCTACCTCCCGTGGTCATCACGCAGATAGATTCTTCTAAGGACATTCCTGAATCTGATTTAACAGATTTTGATGAGTCCCTGGCACTCCTGACTAAGTCATTCAGGAGGTTCGTCAGTAAAAGCAATTTTCGCAGATCTCCTCAGCTATCCCTTAGGGAGAAGCCAAAGTCTGAMAGAATAGACAAGGCTTCAGCTGTCTGCTACAATTGTCAACGGCCCGGACACTATGCATTTGAATGCAGATCTAAGAAGACTGCGATGCCATCTTCTAAAGCCTCTTCCTCATTCACGACCAAAGATGATAAATACTTAAAACTGAAGGAGAAATACAAGAAGATGAAGAACAACCAGCRAAAKRCWAAAGGYCTTATTGCTGAAGAGCATGACTGGGCTGAATCATCTGATGAATCATCTTCTGACGAGAACGATAAAGCTTATGTCTGCTTAATGGCCATTGATGCTGACGAAGGTTCTTCTAAAACATCTACCTCTTATGAGCCATCTTCTGTTACTCAGGTATGTATCCTGAATGAACATTCTTCTAGTCTTTCTGCACTAGATACACTGACGGTTGACCTTTACAATGCCCTCAATGGCAAATCTAAAGCTGAAATGCTTAACGTTGATCTTAATGAGCAATTAAAGATTTGTCATTCTAAGATCAAATAATTGACCTCTGTTGAGGAAAATCTTAAAGATCAGGTTATTGTAAACCAGACTATCACTATTGAACGTGAGAAAGCTGTTGCTGAGCGTGAACGAGCAATCACTGAACTCAAGGCTGAGAAAGCTACCATTGAAGGATGGTGTAAAGCTTTCCTCAAAGCCTCTGAGATCATTAACGCTCAGATCCCTGCCAAGAAAACGACTGGTCTAGGATTCTCCTATGATATGGAAGAATGTGTTAAAGACAGGTCCATGCTTAAATTTGGTACTTTTGTCTCTTCTATTCCTAACACTTCTTTCTCTCAGTCCTCTTCCTTTACTGAGAGTCATCTTAAAGGAACTCCTTTGAATTCTGGGTGCAAAAACAAAGGTAAATCTACTGTCACAGCATCCCTTCCTAAGAAGTCTAACAAGATAAATAGATCTAAATCTATTCCTTCAACTTGTAAAGCTTCTTCTTCTTCAGGGACTAGGAAATCTGAATCGCATCAGAAATCTAAGTCACRGCTCAGGGTGAACTTTTCACCTAAGGAATCCATTCCCTCAAAGGTTCCTCCTAGAACCAATGAGAAGGGAATCTTTGGAGCTTGTCCCACTTTTAGTCTGATACTTCCTGGCCCTAAAGCTACTTTTAGTTTTAGGAAGTGTAAACATTGTGGTGAAAAAACACATGTTGCCAGTAAGTGTCCTTCTATCGTCAAAACTGGTTCACCAGCTTTGGGCAAGAAAGTAACCAAAGTTGAGAAATCAACTAAAGTGAAATCATCCACAAAGACTACCCCTGCAGTCAAGGTGAAGAAAACCATTGAAGCTTCTTCTTTAAGCTCAGTGAATACAACTCCTGCTGAAGTATCTTCAGCATCCGACGTTGTTATCTCCACCACTGAAGTCTCTTCGTCAGACTCAGTGAAGACTTCCACTGAAACTACCTTGGTAGTATCAAGGGTTGTTCATCTTTCCATTCAAACCTCTTCAGGTTTAATGATGCCATCTTCTGATAATGATTCTTCAGTATCAGATGATGAAGCCTCTAACAAAGCTGGACCTAAATAGCTGGGTACCAATAACATTTCTTACTTTGTTTCCTTGTTCAGGATGTCAAAGGCATATGGTATCTCGACAGTGGATGTTCAAGACATATGACTGGAGATATATCTTTTCTATCTCACTTCAAGGAAGAAAGAGGACCTTCCGTAACCTTCGGTGGAAATGGAAAATGATATACTAAAGGTTTTGGTATATTATCCAACGGTACAACAACTTTTAAACGT